AAACCGCCGATAAATTCCTGTGTGCCACCCTATCCAAAGCTTTTTCAAAGTCCAGACTAATTACATATCCATCTTCACTTTTATCCTTCATATACCATATTGTGTCTCTTATGCTCATTTGTATGTCAGCTATATCTCTTCCTTTTACTCCGTATGCTTGATTTGTTTCAATTATACTTGGCATAACTTCCTTTAATCTGTTTGCTAAAACCTTCGCTAAAATCTTAAGATCCGTGTTCAACATTGTGATTGGCCTATAGTTTTTTAAATCAACCTTTTCCCCCTTCCTTTTATATACCAGTTTCATTAACCCTATCCTCGTTCTTTCGTTAATTTCTTCTTTTTCAAAAATGTATTTAAAAACCTCATTTAACCTTTAGCATTCCTGTAAAATTTGCCTAAAACGCCTAAAAAAGGCATACCCAAAGTAAATTGCATGCTGTTCTTGAACCATTTGGAGTACATACATGGTTTTGGTCTCTTTTGAAAGGTGACACTCCGAGGTGTGTTCCTCAACAGTCAGAATCACTGTAAGTATTATTGGTATTGAGTAATAGAACTTTGAACACACTGAAAAATAAATTTAAAAATCCGCCTACATTTTTTTTTGTAAACAAATGCCTGCAGATGACTGTAGCTGGGAACTATTAGCTGGAAAATACATTTGGATCACAGAATAAAGTCTTACCAAGCAAAATGTTTCAAATTTGATAACAATACCTTAGAAAATGAGTGTTTTACACATGTTTATCTAAATTTATGTCTAGGCGCTTCCCAAAAAAAGCCACTTGGAGACTCCAAATGACCCTTTACGCACACACACAAACACACACACACATGACAGAAGTTAGCAACACCACAAACACATACCTCAATATATACAGTAAAATGTATAATATGCATAATTATATGTAAAATATATATAAATATAATTATATAATATAATAAAGCACTTACTTTTTGAGAGCGGCGTCTCCTCCATCCAAACCCATATCCGCTCATCTGCTTCAATGGATGAAACTTTGCGCTCTCCGTCAAAAAACTTTTATTTTCCGGCCAATTTTATTGTTATACATTGCTTAACAACTCCTTAGAACAAACGGGTTGTTTTTCGCGTTCTCTTTGATAGTTTTTGACCTCTAACCACCTCTTCCCCGTTATCTCTCATAGGGCGCTCTTTACGCACAGACGCACCAGTCTCCATTAAAGGCGGGCGTACACGGTGCGATTTTTGCTGTCATACGAGCTAGCAGGCGATTTTTTTCTCTCGGGAGAAAATTGCAGATGCTCGCATGGTCGCGGCTCGTACCGTGTGAGAAGGCGGGCCTACACGGTGCGATTTTTGCTGTTGTACGAGCTCGGGGGCGGCACACTGGAACGGTATGAGGTTTAACCAAGCGGCAACCTCCCGCTCTCTCTCGTGAAGCCAACAAGGAAGTGACTTA